GTTGTCAATAATACATTTTAAATTAGATGATATTATAAAATATTTTGGATTTGTTATTATTTATATTATAAAATATTGTTGGTATATAATATTATAGTTAGTTAGGTTGTAATAATTTGGGTTTTTTTAGCCGATTAGGGTTTTCCGTCAATTCGATATTTTAGTGGCCAATTTTTCATCGATTTAGTAAACTATTTATTGTAGTCTATATATGATTATATACTTAATCCACGATAATTCTATGATTTTTTTTTTGTGATGTAAATTTAATGGTCAACATAAGTTCATATAGGGAAAGAACATCTCAATATTAATAAATTGAAGAAAACAATGAAAGTTAATAATGTAGTACCCTCATTTCTTATTGAATTCATAAAAAACAATATTTAAAATGAATTTAATAATTGTTTTGAATTTTTTTAAAGCTTAATCATAGCGATTCGGCCCGATTCCCAATCCGGATCGTCGATTCACAGATCTGGATCGGTTTTTTAGATGTCTGATCCGAGTCACCGATCCGTTTTTTAAACCACTGCTTTAAACAATATGTACAAAGATGTCAAAAAGAGTTGGGGCTAGAATCCATAAAGTGATCATCTTCAGCAGGAATCTAACCTAGTATTTTATAGCCTCAAAATTCTTGGTGTAATGTGGTAGTTACAAGTTATTCATGTGAATAGTATAGTCAGTAGACGTAATATTTATATTGAAAAACACCCATTCTAAATAAATCCATATGATGGATAAGGTTAGTGAAGGCCTATGACATAAATAGGTTGAGTTAAGCTCTTCATGATATCTATGATTGTTTATAAGTCAGCATGTGTTAAATACATGGATACTCTTGCCAGACACAAATATAAAAGTGTGGGAGTGAGGTTGCTTTGTATAAGATGGAACTCGTCTCACTGATGAATTCTGAATATAAGCACAATGCCTAAAATATCTTGACCACTAAAAGATACCAAATATATATTAATTATGAGTTATATTACCAATCTGTTGGATAAGGAGCGGAATAATATATCCTCTATGTGAATGTTAAAATCGAAAGATTCCTTCATGGTATATAAATAAGATATCGCCTATTTTTTCATATTATTTTGAAAATAGTGGAAGAAATGTTAGTACTTTTAATTTGTAAAATACTAAGTTGTTTATCAAAATAATACACTTCTAAATTAGTATTTCCTAAGTTTATTAATAAAAAGAGATAATATTGCGGGCTTTTAGTCCTACATTTAGGGTCTGTTTGATAACTGAAAGCAAGTTCATGAACTGTAAATTGGAAGTTCCTGAAAAACTTCAAATTAGAAGTTCCTGAAGAATTTTTTTTGTTTTTGTGTTTGATAAACTCCCTGAGAAGTTAAGAAGTTCCTGGCTTCTGTGTTTGATAATCTCCTGAGAAGTTAAGAAGTTCCTGGATTCTTGTTTGATAACCTCCTGGGAAGTCAAAAAAGAACTAAAATCTATATTGGATTAGCTTTAAGTAACAGGCAAGATGTAAATATTAAAATTGAGACCTAGATATTTATTTTTTATTAATTTGTAGAATATTATTTTTTGGAATACAATATCAATTAAAAGTAAAATACGTTGGATTGAGAGAGAGAGAGAGAGAGAGAGAGAGAGTTGTGAGAGTTTTATCGATGAGTGAAACAAGTGTCCTAGAGAGAGATACATTTGTACACCAATTGGCATAAATGTTCCATGATAAACTGCATTGCACCTCAAAATTAAAGCAGTCTATAGACAATGTCTAGCACAACCTCAATTTAATTAAGTTTAAACAATAACCTATAATAGTTAAACATACATAATTAAAAATACAAGAACTAATAAATCAGCTCATTCAAACACACATGCACAATGCAAGCAGTAAGAAATCAGCTCATTCAACAATAACCCATAATAACTTGAGCACTACTTACATTCAGTACTAAGCAATGTGAAACTATTCATGAGTAAATCTAAATATAATGGGGTTTTAGTTGGTGACATTGGTCAATCCAAACTGCAATATATCAATATAAGCACACAACACATTGGCAATTATCTTAAGAGTATCTGGTACCAGTATCAGTGTTGACATGATGCAAGATAGGTGTATTATTAAGCATATAGAAGTTTGCTTGCATCATAGGCAACAAGAAGTTGAACAATGTTCAATATACATGGTCACAATTATTTTCCAATATCTATATATGTCACGTCCCAAGAATTTACAATACGGATATTCCTGAGATGTGACAGTCAAAACATATATACATCTCTTTTTAGGACAAATTTACAATGGCGAATTCTTACAAAGTAACAAAAGAAAGTTTAAGCACAACTACAATATCTTCCAGAGTTGATCCTGATGAGCACTCAAAATGAAACCGCAGTTATCCTGAAAAAAATGTTTACCATAATTTGATGAGTTTGG